AGCAAAATCGCTTCCTTACATTATATATAATTCTAATCTATTAAATAATTATATTACTGTACTAAGTGACTGTTCGTTTTAATTTTACTTTCAATTGTAGCAATGCATTCATTTTTATATAAATTATATATCCAATTGGGAGCATAGCTCTTCAAAAATGATGCAAGACTTTCTCAACTCTTTTACTGAGGCATATATGCGGCAACTGTATAGAGAAAATAACACTTAAAAAGCCTGTCTGTTAAAACTTTTCGCTATTATCGTACTTCGAATTTCTTAAGCTCTTTATCATCAAAGGAAACGCTCATCTTGTCAAAACGTTTCGGCATCAAACTCTGAGTTGATTTACGCATGTTCGTCTGCCCGATTTATTAATGTCCATTGTAAACATGCTCCCGGTCGCAAAAATAAAAAATCGATTCCAGGTAACGTCCCTCGAATTCAAACAAATAAAAAAGGATATACAAGAAAAAAAAATTAACATGTTTAAATGTAATAATGCATGAAATTTATGGAAGTGTACGTAGTGGAAAATAAATGCACTTGACTTTGACTTAGATGTGAATATGTGTTTGTTTATTAACAGCTGACTTACAAATGAAAATGTGTTTATTTATTAACAGCTGTCGCATGTATAAAAATTGCGTCCACCTGAGCGACCATATTCCACAAAAACGGTAAATAAACCGCCCAGATTCCATAAGTACAGAATTGTGTACTGTACTATGAACAAAATAAATAAATAATCGTTTAAAAGTATTGAGGAATGACAAACAACACAGATGAAGATCTTTATAAAAATGCCCTTACCGCCAATAAACTACTGAAACTATTTTTTTTTTTAATTTTTTTTTCAGACTCGAAAAATCTAAAAACTTCTAGCTCATAAAATAATGGAAACAAAATGAATATACTCATAATTTTTTGGGCTTCTTTTAAATTGTATGTTATTCGTGAAAAAGCAATGAACCCTTCCAAACCGCAATGCAGTCAAATATTTTAAAATTCAATCCTTCCTCTTGCTCATATAATTTACGGGTCGTCAAATATTTTAAAATTCAATTCTTCCTTTTGCTCACATAACTTACGGGTCATCATCTTGCTGGTCAAATATTTTAACATTCAATTCGTCCTCTTGCTCATATAATTTTTAAAATTCTTCCTTTTGCTCATATAATTTTTACAATTTTGTTTGGAAAATGTCACACTACATTCAACATATTTGCTTCTTTGCCAACCAGATCTATAAATGATATACGAGAAACTAAATAAATCATGTCAATTCTTTTTTTTAAATAAATAAAATTAATAAATTCTTGCCGCAGTTTCTATTTATAATATGTTTTTCAATAGATCGCATGCCTCTTTCAAGTGCTCTGAGTCCTCAGACGATTTTAAAACCTCAAATTTTTTTGGTGAATACTTCCGACGAAATTTTTCGACTGCTAATTCCCTTTAAACTGTAAACTACCCATATCATAACTGATTGGGTTTCACTTCTTAATATGGTTATTTTATAAAACGACGTTTTAGAGGGGTTGAGCTCTCTAAAGTATAGCTGTGTGCTTGGACCAGCCAGTCCTTGAATTTAAGTGTTTTCCCTTTGTGTTGGAAGAGTAGTCTTGTTATTCCTATTCACAAAAGTGGAAGCAGACAACTCATTGACAACTACAGAGGCATTTCCAAGTTGAGTGTCTTACCTAAACTACTCGAGCGAATTGTTACTCACCATTTGGCCTTTGCCATAAAATCGTATATTTCTCCATTTCAACACAGCTTTCGAAGTGGAACATCTACTATCACCAATCTGTTTACTTGTCATGTTTTCAAGTCTTTTTCTGATTTTAGTAAAGCGTTTGATTTGGTTAACGAAAACTTATTGATCTTTAAACTCCAAGCCTCTGGCTTCCCTTTCTACTGAGTCAAATAGATAAGTTCGTATCTGCCTAACAGATAATTCCGGGTTCTGTTTAGCTTCATCATCTCAGATGAATTTCCCACGACATCTGGGGTACCTCAAGGCTTAGGACCCATTTCATTAAATTAATACATTAATGATCTGCCCTTGGTGAATAAATCCAGCCAGATCCTAATGTATGCTGATGATGTGAAACTGTTTTCTTCCTTTTCCGTAGAATCGTAATCACATCAGCTTCACATTGACTTGAATAATTTAGTTGCGTGTTGCTCTTGGAATCTTATGAAACTAAATCTAAATAAATGTAAGAAGTTTTCTTTCTCAAGAAGGAAGTCATTCATTACTCAGTATTTCATTGATTCACGTTTTTACTTGCATATTGAGCTCCCGTTAAGCAAAGCTAGATTCGCGCTTGCTTTCATAAAGAGGTGGTCCAAAGAACTTGATGATCCTTTCATTACGAAAAGGCTGTACATTTGTTTGGCTAGACCCATACTCGAATATGCCCCTGTTGCGTGGTCTCCTTCATATAGGTGCTGCGTAGATTCAATTGAATCCGTTTAAAAGCAATTCTTGCAGTTTGTTCTAAGGAATTTTGCTTGGGACCCGATTGCCGAGAAACGTACACTTGTTCTTGGGGTTTCTTTCTTAATCAAAGTAATAAACGGTACTGTTGACTCCCCCGCATTACTCGATAAGATAAGCTCTAATGTCCCTAACCGCTTCTCTAGGCACTTTTTTGCTTAGAGTAATGGAATTGCTCAGTTTATGCTTTATTGCTGGCGAGCGCTTTAACATATGTTTGTATTCATGTGTTAATGTGGGGTGTGAAAAAAATTGAAATATGATTGAGATTCTTTACACAAATTAAGTTTTACATCGTGATTGTTTTCACAAATTAAGTTCTACATTGTGATTCTTTCCACAAATTAAGTTCTACAGTTTGATTCTTTCCACAAATTAAGTTGTACATTATGATTCACTTTATCTTGTTTACGCTTAGTCGACGTAAACGCAATTATGAGCTGTTTAGTCCGGTCAGAGTTGTTTACAGGAACCTAAATAATGTCTCCCACTTATTCTCAATATTGGATTCTTTGTGGCCTGTTAAAGCAACTTTTCTTAATACGGGCGATTTACCTATGTTGTACTTAAACTAACTTGCATTCTTAAATTCTCATTTTTTTTATTTCGAAAACTAAATGGTTTTGTTAACTTCGTCGCTTATCAAGCTCATGTTTGAAATGATTTAGGTGTTCACTTACAACCTTGATCTGTTCTTGTTGTGGGTGTGATTCTATGCTAACTGCGTACATGCTTTTATTTCTTATTTATCTATACTTGAAATATTATTTTAAGTTGCTTTGTTTTTATTATTCCTTTTTCACATTTTCATATATATTTTATACTAGTTTTTAAAATAATTAATTATAAGATTTACTATTAAGATTAACTGTTAATTTGGCTTAGTTGAATTTCATGTGTAAATAAATAAATAAATAAATAAACCATATCCATTTAAGAATATTATAAACTCCTCATAGTTATTTTTCTTGTGTTATAATTCCTAAATTTTGACAAATTTTTATAATTACACCTAATATTCCGATAATTTGGATCGAGATAATTGAATGATAGTACGAAAACATTATATATATAAGACACGACATTTCGCTAGCAACATTTATGCAACAAAATTATGATGTACTAACTCATGGCGTCCGATAAAAAGAAACGATATTAAAGACCGTAAGGAGAGTAAAAGAATTGAAATAAGGACATTTACTAAAATTTGTGCGGCGAGTGTGCGTAAGCGACGGCAACTACGTCAACGTCACAATAAATTCCCTAATATTTCAAAGTTCGTGCGAGCCAAAAAAAACCGATCTGTATACATATATTTTGCATGTTTTTATATTAGTTTATTAAATGAGTACAGATTTTGATTATCAATTCTAGTTGATAAATAAAATGAAATTTTTGTTGTAGTAAATCAAAAGCAATTAGAAGTAATATAGATATGGGGTCAAATGTTGCGCGTCCAAGGATGAGGAACCTAAAATTGCTTCTAAAACTGCTTTCAAGCCGATTGGCGTTAATGCAGTTTTAGGTCTGCCTTGCTCCGGCAATCTATTAAGTACTTTCTATGGTTTTCTTCACAGTTTTTTAAATTTTAATTCGTGTGGCTGAAAGCAATTCTTAGGTAGACGCAATTTTACGAACTGCACCACCTAGAAAAGGAGCAAAGCCTAAAGTGCTAAAAAGTGATATGAAAGAAGAACGTAAAGATGAGGCAGTTGTTATTCCCGCTAATCAAGAGAACAGCGATAGTAATCAATAGCACAAAATATTGAAAATGACATATAAGTCACAAATCTATCGGCTTAGTCCATCTCCATTCAACATATCAAAAAAAATAAATAAAAAATATTGAAAATAAACCAAAAAAGTTTTAATAGCTTTGTTATCACATCTTAAGAGCGCAGCGTGCCGATGAGATAAAGATGTCAAAGGGATTGTAAGTCTTAGAATTTTAACAATTACTTAATTTTCCATACTTACTGAATTATTTATACCTAATTTTTATTAAAATTATGCAGAAACTTAAATGCATGGTAGACCGTATGAGACGCTTTCAAATATTGAACTCGCAGATTTTTTCTATACTGAACAAATATCTGAAACGTAGTGACTTCGAAGGATCGTGTGGAGTATGTACGTGCTTTTCACCGCCACAATATTATTATTAAAAAAACGAATTGTAATAGATTGTTTTTCATATTTTGATATATTTAATGTTTATAATAAACATATTTTGTTAAACAAATACAGTCAATGCAATCTTAAATATTCGAAATTATTCGATTTCTCTTTGATACACGCAACAAAGGCCCCTTACTTAGATATTATTGATTTATTGATTACTCTAGAAATAAGGGACAATTTTTTAGATAGTTGTTGGTCGAGTTTGTTTAAATTATAAATCATACTCATCGAAATCTATATATGAAAAGCCAGGCTAGATTTCCTGAAGTGAAATAAGCGCTCTCGTCTTAGTTTATAAATTGATTTTTTCACCTTTCATGCTTTCTGAACTTCGCTATTTTTTCAAAGTGTTTAAGACTGTTTAATAAGATTTTATATGCTTTCGATGTTGATTCCGTAGCTGCATGGATTCTCAACTGCGATCAGGGGCGCTTGCAGCAGTACAACGTGGGTGCACCTTTCGAAACGATCGCAATGGATATTGCTGGACCATTTCCAGCCAGCACTGCAGGAAATAACTATGTACTGGTAGTCGACGATGGGCCGTAATGCGACACGTTGAGATGAATTATAATCTTACCTAAGTCCTGACTGGTCGTGACTGCTCCAGCAAGCACCTGTGCAGGTTCGGGCACGACAACTCGCAAGGTTGCTCGGAATGCTCGGAAACAAATGAAGAGTACGCTATATTTTACAGCAAAAGTTTTGAGAACATTAGAACGCAAATAGAACGTTGTGGCCGCAATGAAGCCTAGAGCATTCAGTTGCATCTGGCAACATTTGTTACAGATACCACGATGAGGCGGCTTCTGAAACTCGATCGTTAAGAAAAAAAGATTGGCGTTGAAATGGTTTTTGTTGTGATTTTTGGCGGGGAAGAGGAATAGGGATTTGAGTTAACGAAACAAAACCGTCATCGCACATTTTCTAGCAAAAAGTTGAAATAGTAGAGAAAAAAAGAGGAAGAGCAAAAGAAAAAGACAAGATGGAGTTTCTGTGGCAAATCGGTCTTGTAATTGATGTTAAATTTTCTGGATTTAAATAGATACAACGTTAGGCGCAATTCGTATGAAATTATTCACAATTTTACAAAACACAATCGACACAGTAATCGAGAGTGTTGGAATGTACAACAGAAGAACAATAAAAAAGTATAAAATAAACGTTTCAATATACAACAACAACAAGAAAACATTAACAATGCAAAAGTTAAAATTATGGTCCAGCGATTAGAAGAGTTTCGTTAAGAAAATTAATTGTTAATAAATTAATTAAAAATTTTTCTATAAGTAAGAAGAGAACATAAAATTTTAAAACGGCTTAAAAATTTTGATGAGCTAACAAAAACAAAAGAGGCTTAAAAGCAATTGAAAATTTACAAATGTTATACATTTATTTCTTATGATCGTACTTAAAAATATTTATCAAAAAAAAAATGGATAATAAAAGATAAAGAAAATTTATAGATAACATTGGAAGGAAAAGTTTGCTAACATTCCTCTCCTATATAAGCAGAATTTTCTCTCTTATAAAATATTAGATAGAAGGGATTGTGCTTTTAAACTAAAGACAACTTACGTGCTTCGCGTCGTAAGGATTATACCACGACGGCAAGTCTTCTTCCTGGATATCTTTACTACTCATTCCGCAGAAGAATACGCCATGTGTTTTGGGTCGAGTGGGTGATTGCGGCAGTATATCGCCAAGTTGTTTCAGCATTTTAGCTGTGTACCAAGGACAGAATGGATTGTATCGGACATGTATCCGACGTCATTGAGGGCACCTAGCGCTGCTTGAGCAGAATGTAGAAAGATGAAAAAATGGAAGAATTGTCAAATTTTCGAAATTTTCAACCATCAACTCAGAGCGAATCCAAGTGCCAATAGAGGTGCTCAGTGTTCATATGATTTTCACGTCTTTCTGAGCCGGTGTGATGAAGTCTAATTATTTATTTACACATTTTTAACGTGCCAGCCTTTCTTTTTAAACTTATGGTATTTGATTATCCTACCGAACTTTTATTGTACTACTCGAAGCATTATCCTGCTTCAAGTAGGATAGTTGTAATCTTAACATTGCATATCTGAACTGCCAAAGTATGTCTTGCTAACATATGCACGGATGGACTTGGGAGACTTTTTGAAGCTAGTACCACACCACTCAATAAGTCCCCTATCTGTCAAATACATGATACTACAACTTGTAAACTAATTGTTAGGATGTCATGAAGTTTTGATACGTTGGTAATTTCCAGAAATCGTGTGGGTCTCTCAATCGTCATGTCATGTATGTAACAGAAAGAGGATTTAGTAGGTGATATGTTTTCTCTGAGAGTTTTTCCATAAGTGGATCATGGCAAAAAATAATATATCTAACTCTGATGCGTTTTACTAAGGTATAGTTTGTCGAGATATGATCGGGCATAGCCTAGATAGAGAAAATTTGGCTTATAGATTTCCCGTAAACATTATTATAGGGTAATGTTTCGAGTCCTCGAAGAAGGGATCCGGGAGTCTGTATTCGTTGAACTAACCGTGCACTCGGTTGGAAGAAGATATAATGCTTGCTATGTAAAAAAATGCTCTGAAGGTAGATTTTCATTGCGATTTGCTTCAGATTTTAAATGCGATTTACTTCAACCGGCAAATCTTTTAACAAAGGAGCCATGTGTTTTAGAATGGTCTCTGTTGCATAAATAGCTGCTTACTGACACATTTCAGTGTTCATCCACTATTGATTACTTTCTAACAAGTGAGAATCTTGATTGGAACAATGTGCTCCAACTGTTGCTCCTAGACTTTCTATTACTTGTTAATTTTTTTATTGCTTTTCTCAGTATTACCAGGGTTGAATAAGTAATTTATTATAAAAATTTTGAGATTGCTAACACTAACAACTATAAGTTATTTACAAGAGAATATCTTTCCAATATATTAAGTTAATTGCGAAGACTTTTATGTCGAATTTCTAAACAGGATAATACATAATATTCTAAATCTTTCCACTGAGCCTACATACTCACATAATGGAATCCTCAACTGGGTCCATTTCGCTGTTCTCTCCATCTTATTTATTAGCAAGTTTACTGTAAAGTGCATAATCCTGTAAACAAACTGACAGCAAACGGAATAAGTGTAGCTTAAAGTACATTTTTTGAAAATTCCCGCTATAATAAATGTGAAAGAAATATGTAGTAGTGAAGAAAACGTCATGGGAAAATTAAAAATTTAGTAATTCGAAAAGGATTGCGAAGATGGAATGTACGTTTGCGCTAAAATTGATGCAGCTATGAGTGATTTAAAAAGCACGCCAAAACTGCATTGAATTAGGAAAAATTGGTTAAAAGAAACCTTATTTTCATTTATCCTTTGAAATTCTACTGATTTTACGGACTCGCGATGGTCAAGTATTAGGTCGATTATTTGGGCATGTGAGCACCAAACATTACATATACGACGTTGAAGGTATTTTCATGATAACACGTTAGCTCCACCAGATGCCGCGATAATGACTACAATTCCGAGCTACCAATGAGCCAAGTCACGTGCGATAACTTAAAATCTCCCTGCGCCGTACCCCACTCCACGGAGTAATGAAGTAAAGGATTAAAAACATATTTTGCATATCAGTTTTTCCGCGAACGGCAATAAATTGAGCAGTTCAAATTTCAAGCACATACGACTGAGAAACAATTATGATGCCAAGTAAAATACCGCATGCAGCTCGATCTAATCGAGTTTGGAATTAGAAACTAATACAAAAAAAAATCGGATCACATTCTATCCAGATATGCGTAAAAGCCATGGAAGAAAATGTTCCCCGGTTGTTACCAAGATTATATTTGTCGCGCGTAATGCGTTTGTGCTGTGCATATATGTCATTACAATATGCTTGGTTTCTGTGCGATGAGATGTCAATAATTTCAGAAACAAACGCGCATAAATATAATTTATAGCGCTAACATATAATTTAAATTATGAATTTAAATTTTTACTTTTAGCGAAATTGTGTGAATCGAATTTTTATCCTATTTGCACACTTACCCCATATATATCATAAGATAGAACCACGTTTTCAGGTTCATACATGCGTATATGCAATGGTGGAATTTCGTCTCCTCTCAAGAATGTAACCATTTCACACTAAGGTGCATGATCATTAAGCTCCCTATCCTTACGCGTTAACGTTGCGATAAGAGTATCTCCAATTGATTTTCCGTGGGGATTAAAATAAGTGTCAGCAAATTCCATTATGCCATTAAACACATCATTTCTGCGTATGGCTTTTGTTAGTTCAGCTAACTTCCGACGTATTCTAAGACGTTTTCCCGCCCTATATTTTCTTCGCTTTGTACGATCAATATGTTGTTGAAAATTTGTATCGGCGGATTATTGATGTCAGTAGGAAAGCCGAGTCGTGTACCACTCTAAAAATTTTTCGGGCTTGCAACTTGGATGTTGTTAAACTAATGCTCTTCCAATTAATCCTATTTTATAAAAAAAAACAATGTGTGCAGGGATGGAAGTCGTTTTGCCTTATATATTGTACCACCTTTATATCCAGCTCACTTTTTTTTATAATTTTTACGAAAAGTTCGCGAAGCACTGCAAAAGAATACTACTGAGGCTACAAGGACTTGGCTTCTTTTTATACGCTTTTGCGGCGTATACGTTTGGTGCGGTTTTGCATTTTAATAGCATTCTTTGCAGTACAATTAATAATATACGAAAGAGAAAGAACGTACATTGTCGCTAATTAACAGCTCTACTGTTATTACTGCCTGAAGTTCCTAGGAAATTCAAATTTTCTATTTTGAGCGAAATGTATCAACATTTTATCATTTGTTTGTCTGCTTTACCGTTTTAATTGAAAAAATGCAAGTCGCGCCGGAGAATTTAATTGGTCTGGAAATTCCGCATATTCAACAGCGAAATTATCAGTTATCTGGTTATTTACAGTAATGATATGCATTCGACGCTGTCTATTATACTCTATGTAATAAGCAGAAAATTTCCCGTATGGCGCTATGTTTGAGAAGCCGTCTATGAAAACAAATTTTTGTTTTGCTTTGCTGTTGAGGAAAGAGAAACATTGCATACACATAATTGAGCGAAGCATATATGATCATCGTTTTACCTACATATACATTTACACTATTGCTCATATGCAATTAAAAACATTACGATCTGTACACTTTCGCTTTTGTAAAAATACGATAAATTTTCATAGTTTGATAGCATAACGGGTATTTCATGTCGCCAGAAACTGAGCTAAAAAAATGGAAAGTTTATTTTTCCAGAGACATGGAAATTTTTATACAGACGCATCTCACTAGATCTGTTATTGAAATAATAATATTAATACGCGTACGCATATTCTTAATTAGGGTAAAATATGGCAAAAAGATTATATTCAACTCAATGCCAAAAGGAAAAATTTCTTTTCCCTCAAAATATTCAACAAGTAGAAATGTTCTAAAATGAAAAAATGGACCGATATAAACCATATCCAGTAGGGTTCGTCCTTGGGCCAAAATACGGCGGTGTACGAAATTTCATTAAAATATCGCAGAAATTGCGACCTAGAGCTTGAACACAAATTCATATGGGCAGACATTGGACGGACGGACTGGCAGATAGACGGACAAAATAACAAACGGACAGACGGAAAGGCGAAGAGAAAGGCTCATTTGTAATTTTTCCGTCCATCACCATAGAATGATGCGTTTGCAAGAGGGAAACTTGAGAGTATATACATTCCTGATCAGCATCTAATTATAAATCGATTTATGTACGTCCGGCTGGCTGTCTGCCCATCTATGTAATCTTTGTTTATCTCTTGGCCACAAAAATGAAGACTGGCAGAAACATTGGAAATTGTTGGGCAGAGGCTGGTATTGAAAATGGCGCATATCGATCGAAGGACACGCCCAAAATGTGACGTTAAAAATTGCGTTCCTTGTTCATTATTCATAAACTACAGCAGATAAATCTACAAAAATTTAAAAATCGAATAATATTCCATGAGTATATATTATTTTTTGTTTTTATCTTTTTTTTATCGTCTTCTTATCTCAAAAAGGAAAAATTAATAACTGCATTCTTATGTGGAATGACTATAAATAAGCACTAAAAAAGCTATAACTATCTAAGTATTTGAAAAGCAAAAAGATACAAGAAACCAAGGACAAGGAAAATACATCCAAATGTCATTAATTAAATAAAATGCGAAAAAATAGTAAAACTAATTTAAACTTGAACAGAAGCATATGTGTACATAGGTATTTTTATATGTTATGTAAATATAATAAATATAATAAAATAATCATTTCTCGCTTCTATAATATATATTATCCAGCCAATTAGTATTTATAGCGATAGTACACCAGCAACGAGTATCGAAGCCAATAAGAAAAAAGGATAAGAAAGGACTCAAAATGTTCTAACATTAAAAAAAATAAACTTATCTTATAAGAATATTTGAGTGTTCCATCAATTTTTTTCATTTGTTACTTCTTTAAATTAGTACGAGTACGACTTAAACCCGATAGCCGCCACCTCTTTGGTCGGTTTGCCATTAATACTGCGTTGTTATCTTTTTCCATATGCTGAACTGGCAATTTCCTATTGACGCTCGGTATACCTGTTTCGACAACATTTTTAACAAACTCCCCTAATTCTGTAGTCTCGGTTTGTCGTGAATTTCTATTGGGTGTCTCACAGACTTGGAGTGGCCTATAATTAAATTTTGAGTTTATTAACAATAAGTGCTTTTTGCGATCTCTCATATTTTCCAGTCCAGTTTCATTGTCTTTTTCCAATATGAGTTTTTTTTTACTATTCCCTGTTTGAAAACCAGCAGAAACAAGTGAACTTCCCGGATTATTCACCTTGCCAACATTAACCTGATGTATTTTAAAGGTCGCTTGAAAGCCTGTTTTGTTGGCTATTTGCGCAATGCTGTTTGTATTTTTTCCAAACTTGGACTCCATACTTTCAATCGACATCCGAGCTTTTATGTCTTTTAGTTCAGTTTCATAATTCGTTTCTTGCAAATTGTTTTGAAATTCTCTTAGAATATTTTGTACCGATATTTGGTTTTTTTTCGATATGGAGATTTTTTTACCATTCGCTGTTTGAGAACCAGGAGAAACAAGCGAACTTTCCGGATTATTTACCTTGCCCACTTCATCTCGATTCACTTTACTTTTCACTTCTCCCGATTCGTTTTCAATAGAAATTTCACTCACGCAAACTCCGTTTTGCCTTCTCCCAACTCCCGCCATTCTCCGTTAGCTTTTTGAAGTCCTAATGCAGCATTAGTTTCTCTCAGCACCAAGCTCTTGGAGTACCCACTAATATTGTCTCTTTGGTTACCTTTAAAGCCAATCAAAATAATAATAAGCATAATAAAATGTGAGGAACATCAATGCCCATTCACTTCATACGACGTCGCTTCCTCTCCACTCCCTTTATCGTTTTCAATTTTTATATTCGACATAGAATAGCATCGATAAATAACTTTCATGTAACGTATTATATGCTTGGGGTGGATTGCAAAAATGTGAGTGTATATGTATACGCTAGTAAGTATGCCTACATGTATATGTAGCATGTTCGTATGAATAAACGTGCGTTGTCATATCTTGATGTATGAATTTTCTTTAACAGAGCTCTTTTTTAGCAATCCTCGTTAAGATAAGGATATATAAATCCTATAAAAATCTGCGAAGAAAATACTGTATGCGAGAGTCTTGTCTGCCTGACAATATTCAATGAGGAAATTTTTGAGTTTTCAACTTTCAAATCTAGCTAAATCTTAAATCCATTAAATCTGTATTAATCCCTTTGATTTTTTTTACAGGTTATAATTAAAATTGCCTGTACTTTCTAACTTATATATCAAAGAAATTTTTGTAGTACGCACCGGTATAATGCATCTTTGTTCTATGGCAACGATTCCTAAAATGTAACGATACACTTCTATTAGTTTGTCTTTGTTAGCCACCGGAGTAGTACGCAAAGATGTAACAACTCAAAGGTTGTGGATTCAAATCTCAAGTGTGATAGAGTTTTCAATAAACACGATAGCCATAATCCCTTTTACTTTAAAACTTAAATCTTAAAATTTATTTTTATGGCAAAGTTAATTAAAATAATAATAATATTTTTCTTTATTAAGTAGTGACAAGGATACTAATGAATTTGTTATGTTTCAATTAATATGGTATGTTTATCATGCATGTTTGCGGAATAATTCACTTATAATTCGCTAAACTAAAGACAACAGTGATTTAAGAAAAGTTCAAAAGCTCTCCTTATTGAACTAAGTTTAATTTGTTCCATCTGCAAACCAGTAGTGGTTTTTTGACGTTAATGGCCGAAGTGGCTGACACAATGAACGTCTTTTTCGTTTTGGAGAGTCAAGTGGTGAATACAATGGTAGTCGTGCTGCCATATTGTTTTACAGGAAAACGTAAACAAAAACATATGGTCTTGGAACCAAAAATAAAGATATCAATTTAAACATAAGCAACACATGTTTTAATCTGCATTTAGACCCAGTTTGTTGTTAACTAATCCATAATTTGGAAATTACCGTCTACGATTCTCTAATAGAACACTCTGAATTTTTAAATAAATGGTCTTTATGGTTTGTATTCCATTTCTTACGAAATATGGCATGGCATAAACCAAAATAGCAAATTTCATAACATTAAAAAATTAGTATAAAATAAACATAAATAACTTTTAGATTTAAAAGAAGTGATCGTCATTTCCTCTTGTGCTTTGTTTTTTTTTTGTTTTAATTGTATGCACATATGCAAAAACATACGATTTATCGATCCCCATAAAGTTCTGTAAAAAGACGACAAAGTTCGAGTTCCAACCCGATAACAGGAGTAACGCCTCGTTTAGTCAGTCCCCTATAATTGGCTGTTGTAAAGAAGTAAGTTAATATGCCTGAAAAATAAATGTGTGTAAAAAAAGCATTTATGTGACAGTAATTAAATATATCTGCGAAACATATTGTCTTTTATAGAATCAATAATAATTAATCATCATATTTATTAATTAAATGTAAAAGTAATTGAGTTCTTTTTCCTAATATTTGTTTTCCGTTTACTTTTTCTACTGAGAGTCTATATAAGCTTATCGAAAACTTTAATTCCGTTGGCACTTCGTTTCACAACGGCATTGTACTTTGCTATTAATAACATAATATACACAATGAACTATGAAATAAGTTCTCTTTTGCAGTATTAATTTCGAAATAAGTATTCTTTTCTTATTGAAAATGAAGACACTGGCTAAAATCTTTGCTATCAAAGAAGCTCTTACATCTTGCAATACCTTCGATAATAAGTATGTTTTCAATTAGCGACATCTATTGGCGAAAACGATAAAGTCATTTGTATAAAACTGTTAAATTCAATGATTTTGGCCTTTCTCTACATCAAATATTAGTTTTCAATGAGGGAAATATTTTGATTAATATATGTTGTACCAATCTGTCTCAGTAGATGCCTTTTTCAAGGGGAAAAAAAACGAAATACATGCGATAATTATACGCTGAGGATACTAGCAACTCACGTTGCAGTTAGGACATTGCCTTTAACAGGATAATAAACGATAACGATTAAATGTCTAGAGAGCATTTTACTTATACGTTCAACAGGACAGCTTTAATTTTGTTGTTAATATTTTCTTTGTTGACGTAGTTTCCTTAAACTGTTATGACTATTACATCCACAAAATACGCAATTTATTTATAAAGCTTCATACGTACGATTTGAACCTTTAGCAGAATTGAAACATTTCGCATTCGCCGATTTATAATTTGGCAAAACGACCCAACATGCACCATTTGAAGCAATGTTTTAAATTCGTAAACAAAAAATCAACAAACACTATGTAATAATCATATTTAATAGCTCTTGGAACAACACAAAATGTATTTTTTAAAAAACATGTTTGATAAAATAAATGGGTAGAGAAAGAGCTATTTAAGCCTAAAAACTTCAAAATGTTTTAAAAATAATAATAGCATATAGTTATTTTGAAATAAACGAAAATTGAATATGAAATTAACGAAAAAAAGTGGGAATATGGTTGAGCAATACATATATGTGCCCATAATTATGAAAGTGATTTAAGTTAAAATTTAAAAAAAAAAATAGTTTATCGGTTATATCACTTCACATTATTTTCAATGTAATTTTTACGATATCGTCAAAAACGGACCACTAAATAGTGATTGTAATTTCAACAAGGAAGGGATGGGTTGATGGAAATGAAAATAGGAAAAATAAATTACATCTGCAATCCTGACCGTTATTTTGAATATATAAAAAAATGAAGAAGAAGATATATATTTTCGGTAAAACGGATTTTATTTTGAATCGAAATCGCGAGAAGGGTCAAAGACAAGTAGAATAAAAAATAGCGCGGGCGAATCTATCTCTTGTTGCAGCCAAGATCAATGGATCACGTTCTTGAAAGTTATAAGATATTCCATGGAACTTCTTTAGATGGTTTTAAATTCTATGTTTTGGATCTTTCCCGAAAGAGGAAGACCAAATTCATAAGGATATATTAGATTACTTCCATTGCACCCCATCTCTGTACTAGTAGTGGAAGAAAAACACAAACATACCATGTGTCTACTACCATACACAACGTTTTAAGAATCTTAAGAACTGGTAATGATAAAAGCCTAAAATGATAAAAATGGATTACTTTTTAAAAATAATTAATGAAATGCATTATTTCATTAAAATTCTAAAAAGAAAAAATAATTTTTAACTGCTTTAATTTACTCAGAGAACACTCAGCTAATTTTCAAAATGGTCTAAATCAACTCAAGCTTTAAGAACAACATTTTTTTAGGATATTCACACAAAATTTCATATTAATAAAATTCTAAACGAAAATGCCGCATAATGTAAAAATTTGGTTTGATTTATTTCATTAAATATCTCGAAGCAAGAAATGTATGGCTTGGACCAATTGCATTGTTATAGGCACATATAAACAAATTTAATGCGGAAATAATAAATATCAAGGTGGTCATTAACAAAAAAGCAGATCGAATCGTATCGTTTTCGTGTTTTGCAATGTATGATAGCTCGAGAGAACCGTAAGTCGAACTCAGCAGGGTAATCACGTCTGAAAATTAGCTTTTGTTCGTTACCAAGTCAATAGTTGATAACCGTTTTCAATTCGATCACATCAGACTTTCGCGTCATTTTCGCTGCTATTGTTCATGTATAAATAAAAAAACAAAACAAAAGCAAACAAATTCTTGTCATATATATATGTACTTGTGGTGTGTGTCTCATTGCGTATATATATGATAGCATTCACCATTGTTTGATGACAATAGCTTTTTTTGGAATAATGAATGTATAAGATTTGTAAACACTCTGCCATACTTGTCAAATTACACGAACACAAAAAGACTTATTTCTGGATTTAGTTTGGTTGTTTAGATTTACATTTACAAGAGAAACCCGCTTTAACTTGGAAATAAGAAAATTCCAAACAAAAACTCCCAAACCGCTGAACCACAACAGTAAATCAAAAACAGAAAAATTAAAAAAACGAAAACAAAATTTATTGAGCAAAAAAAATTAACAACGACCAACAAAGTAAAAAATGTATAAAATATTAATAAAACCAAGGGTTTGAATTTAGAAAATTTTGAGCAAATATTTCGTGTGCCTACAAAAATGAAAAGCAGATTTCTTTGATTTCAAAGTAAAATTAAGCCAAACCAACGCAAAAGCCAACTTAGAGAGTAATTTAAATCTCACGATCGTAAATTAATGAAAATAATAACATAAGGTAAGCATATTAAATATATATATGACAAAATCTAATCCTTTAACAGAAAATAGTATACGCAAACGTCGAAAAGAGTCGAAACAATAGTGCCAAAGAAGAAATGGAAGTAGAGTTTGCCGGCACACAAAAAAACAAAAAGAAACATGATTGAATAGCGCAAAAAAAGCCTAGTTAATAATGTCATATTCTTTTGCATCTAATTATTTCTTTCATTTCTTTCATTTATTTATTTATTTATTTCAATTCAACTTATTAGAAACTCAACTGAAATAAATTAACAATCGAAATCAATTAATATTTTATAAGAAAATCTTATCTTAATTATTATTAAAAACTAGTATAGAGTAGATGAGGAAATGGAAAGAAAAAGGAAAACGAGAAAAAAAAGAAAATAAAGTTAATGAACACCTATTACCTAGTATCCGCACATGGTACAGACCAAGCTGCGATTCCGTAAACCATTGAAAACATGTAAAAGCTTGCCGACCAATAACAGTAAACAACACCTTTTAGTTTTCGAATCATAATGAGATGTTTAAATATGACATGGGCAAAACGCACGTATTCAGCAAAGTCGTTTTGATAGACTTTAAAGAATCCAATATTGAGATTAAGTGATGGACATCATTTAGGTTTCTGCAAACAGCTCTGAACGGGTTAAAGAGCTAATAATTATATTTACATTGACTCAGTTTAACGAAAATAAAGTGCTTAGAGAAGCGATTAGGAACATTAAAACTTATTTAATCAAACAACGTGGACGAATCGATAGTACCCTTAATTAACTTAATTAAGAAGGGAACACCGAAATTAAATGTACGTTTCTCAATTGACGGCAAGGGTAGCAAAAGCAACCTATTAGCTAAAATTGAAGTAGATTATTTGCAATGGTCAACATATAGCATTAAACTCTCAATATTTTCATATACAAATTCATGAAATTCGTTGCTGCAAATTACAATTTTTTTCGGTGAAACTCTCAACTTCATTTCTTCGAGTTTCGAATGGATAACCTCACCCTTTCATTTCATTAGCTTTTGAAAGAATCATAATTAATTCTATGGAACGTAAACGCTTTCAAAATATTTCTTGCATTTCACGGTATTTCTGGGAATACTCGTGGCAAACAATTGATAATTTTTCTGATTGAGTTTTCGAAGCTGGGCTGTCCTTAGTTTTATTATCCTTCTCTGAATTTGTTTCTCTGAAAGCAATATTGTGGTTTTTTGTTATGTATACATTGTGAACTGTCACCAATAGCAAAAGGCTATGTGACTTTTGTACTTTTTGCCATGTGTTAAACATCCGTTATTAACAATTTTGTTTACAAATTATTCAACAGAACTGGCATTGCCAATAACACATCCAGAGAAAAAGAGAAAAAAGAAAAACTCAAACGTATTTGCATATTTTATGGCCTGAGAGGATTACAAATCATGCCCTAACGAGCTACGTGGTATTATTTGCAAGATTGTTAATCAGTCCTTGAAATAGTGCGTTTTTCCTCTGCGTTGGGAGAGTAGTTTCCTTATTTCAATTAATAAATGTGGATATAGACAACACGTTGAAAACTATAGAGGCATCGCCAAATTGAGAGTCTTACGTAAATTGTTTGAGCAAATTGTCAGCATCTAGCTCTTGCTACTAAATCTAGTATTTCTCCATTTCAGCTTGGCTTTCGGAAAGCAAGATCTACTATCACCAATCTGTTTACTAGTCATGTTTTCAAGTCTTTTTTTGGTAGTTCTTGCACGGATGTCGTATATACTGATTTTAACAAGGCGTTTGACTTAGTTAGCCATAATTTATTGATCTTCAAAATCTATGTCTCTGGCATTTCCTTTGTATTTAGTGAAACGGATAAGCTCTTATCCTCATAAGAGATCATTCAGAGTTATGCATAATTTCGTCACCTCGCATGAATTTCCTTTTAGTAAAGCACTTTACTTGGTCAACCATAACTTATTGATTTTTAAACTTAAGGCCTCTGGCTTCCCTTTGCACTTAGTGAAATGGATCGGCTCTTATCTGTATAATAGATCATTTAGGGTTGTATTTAACTTCATCACATCGCATGAATTTCGCGTGACGTCTGGTCCTCGCTGCGTACCTCAAGATAGCCACTTAGCACCCCTTTTATTTGGTTTATACATTAATGATCTGCCCTCAGTGATTAAATCCAGCCAGATTTTAAAGTACGCTGACGATGTTAAACTGTTTTCTTCCTTCTCCTTGGGATCGCAATCGTATCAGCTTCAAACTGACTTAAATAACCTGGTCATTGCTTGCTCGTTAAATTTTATGAAATTAAATCTAAAAAAATGCAGCAAACTTTCTTTTTTAAGAACGAAGTAACTCAGTACTGAGCACATTGACTCACAAAAGTTGGAAAACGTTGATTTGAGTATTTGTAATTTATTCATAAATTCAGACACTAGAGGCTTTGATTTGAGATATAGAATCGGTAATCATTTCATGATTTTACGATTTGTTATTGGGCACAGGAGTCTCGGGATTTGATGATTTTATTAGGGAAGTTTTTTGGGGAAAGAAAGAAGTTGGTATTTGCATCAGCATAAGAGTTCTATGAGGTAAACCTGACGTTTAAGGCGATCTGCAGTGTCTTTTTCGGATTTAAAAAATTTTTTATAAGAGGAACAAATCTTTGAGTTAGATGCACTTTCACCCTTGCAGTTAATACTTCTTGCCTGACAAAAACGGCAACATTTACTACATTGTAATACTGTTTTGATGTACAGTTTGATAGTGAAGTTAACATCTTCTATGCAAACATGTAAAGGTAAGAGATTCCCTGAAAAACTTAAGCGAACTGTGCGTAAAGCTTCCCGAGAATTAGGTAGGGTTAAATTTAAGTAGCTTTTTGGAAATGGTTAAACAATTACAAAATTCCGACAATCTAAAGTTTCTTAAGTAAACAAAGAGCGGAAATTTAATTTGCCGTAGATGCATGTTAGAAATAAATAGTAATGATAAGAATTCATTTATTGCTTTTCAAATTTAGTAGGACCAATAGGTAAAGACATCCGAAATAATTATTTGATTTTGTTATTTTTTCCAGTATTTTTGTATTTCCGAAATTAAGTAATCCTTCTATGCCCTCTAAGTTTGTCCAATATGTGGTTTCATAATGATATTTACTTTATTGTGTCGAAAGTATTTTTCATACTATTTATTTTAAGTAAAAGTTTTGCACTAGAAACGACGTTAACTTAGGAATGTATTTCTACATAGACTTCACAGCTTCATGTGGAGATTTCAGACGATTGAATGGTTGTGATTCCTGCCCGTTAACTCATATAAATGATGTCAATCAAAATTCCTATGGCAATGGAGGACGTTTGCAAGACAACTATAACGACGCTTTTCAGTGCTTTGCAATTAGAAGGAATGCATTTTGGGTATAGGAATTCAGCACACACTTTCTAGAGACTTATAAATGGAGTGTTTAGAGGCACAGACTTAATTTCTGTATACGTCACGGTCTTATTGTCAGTGATCCAGAATCCGAAGCTCTAGAACGTTTAACTTTAATATTCAAGCAACTTGATAAATATGGTTTAAACATTACCTCATAATCCACAGACCTCATAATTGTATCTTCGGAATATGAATTTTCTTAATCATAATATTTGTAAAGAAGGAAGGGGTATATATGGTAAAATTAATAAAGCAGTTAGGTCTAAAAACAATGTTTTTATATATAGGATTAAAAACCTACTAAATCGTTTGAACTTATTAAAGTGACATTTTCCGCAAAAGTTTCGTCAAATCATTCTTGCAACGAGGCGGAATTATCTTTAACGTTTGAAGCATCAAATGATGCAGTATGTAACGTCTTGCAATAATCCGTGAATGGGATTATTGAACACACTTTCCACATCCGAAATTAAACATAGTACGTTTGACCGTGATCTGTTAGCAATCTACCTACATACTAAATACAAACGTTTTAAATATATTTTGGAATGTAGACAATTTATCATTTTAACAGATCAAAACCATTAGCAAGGAATTTAAGGGCAAAAGCAAAGGGAAGCAGATTTCCCAGTTACTAACGCCCAGTAACATGCGCAGGCACCAATATTATAGCAGGCAGGCATTTTTAAAGCGTTAGTTGAGATTAATTCCCCCTCTAGTCGCCTTTTGTTGACAAAATCGTTAACTCCTTGCAGTCTTTTCATGTAGGTACCCGCATATGAGCGAACAGAGTCATCCATGTCAACAGGGTCAGGTTTTGGCAATAGTTTTAAGGCTAACGTCTTCCTAATTGTTTCCGTTCCCTCGGGGAGTCGACTATTTTCGTTGCATATTAAGCCTTGGACGATATTGTTGGAAGTCGCATCTTGGTTAAAACTCTTCTCCGAAGATCTTCCACGTTGGGAATGGTATGAATGCAACCTGCTAACTCAGGGGTTGCATATAGGTGGATCTTGTAAATGCCGATTAACGGTTGCTTGAAGGGAGCGGTGGTTAGTTTGGTGAGCTCTACTCCATATTAGATTTCTTTTATTTATTTATTTATTTTAATTTTACTTATACATGAAACTCAACTAAACAAATAACAGTCGAGTTCAATTAACACTTAAAGCAAAACTTATATTAAATTAATAATAAAACTTGGTATAAGTACAATAAAACAAATAAGAAGGAAAAAAAAAAGAAAAAAAGCATGTACACAACCAGCATAGACAACCGGTACAGGACCAAATTGCAAATGAACTCCGAATCTATGAAATGCTGAGTAATGAATGACTTTCTTCTTGAGAAAGAAAGCTTCTTACATTTACTCAGATTTAGTTTCAGAAGATTCACAGAGCATCACGCAACAAAATTATCCAAGTCACCTTGAAGCTGATGTCATTGCGATTCAACAGCGAAGGAGGAAAAGAGTTTCGCATCATCCGCATACATTAAGATCTGACTGGAATTAACCACCGATGGAAGATCGTTAACGTATAAACTAAATAAAATGGGACCTAAGTGACTTCCTTGAGGTACTTCAGATATAACGGGGAACTCATCCGAGGTGATAAAGTTGAACAAACCAAAGGATCTGTTGTGCAGATAAGAGCTTATCCATTTCACTAAGTACGGTGGGAAACCATAGGCTTGGAGTTTCAAGATGAGTAAGTTATGGTTAACCATATCAAACGTTTTGCTTAAATCAGTGTATATCACATCTGTGGGAGAGCCACTGGAAAAAGCCTTCAAAACATGACAAGTAAACTCTAACAGATTGATGATCGTAGATCTTCCTTTCTGAAAGCCATGCTGGTGTGGAAAAATATACGAATTAATGGCAACGGCCAAATGCTGAGTCACAATTCACTCGAACAAGTTGGACAACACACTCAACTTGGCTATGCTTCTGTAGTTCTCAACAAATTGTCTACTTCCACTCTTGTGGATAGGAATAAGGAAACTACTCTTCCAACATGAAGGGAAAACACCTGAATACAAGGACAGGTTAAAAATTTTGAGATCACACCACATAACTCGAGAGCGCAAGATTGAAGTACACATGATGGAATTCCATCAGGTCCTGGCGCACAACAATATTTTAGAGAACTCAACCCTTTAAAAACATCATCTTCCGAAATTACCAAGTTAGGAATTGAGACAGAGTTAGTTATAGGATATAGGTAGTTTGCTGATAAATCGAAATTAGCAGTCGAAAAGTTTCGTCGGAAATACTCAGTGGTTGAAGGAGTTAAATCTATGCCTCACCACCGAGTAAGCGAAAAAGTCGAGAGCAGAGCCACTTTTCGAATATTTTTTGAATAACGTGTTTTTTCTATTCTTGTAATATTTAATTGTCTTATTAAACCAGGGGGGACACCTGCTTCGAGGTCGGCACTGCTTAATCGGAGCAGATGCAGCAATAGCTAGATTTAATGTATTGTAGAACGATGACAATAAGCTTTCAATACTTCCGATTGAGAAATCAAGCCTCATATGTGAAAGACGATGTTTTAGCAATACAATATTGACTTTATGAAAATCATAACATTTATTTAAAAAAGTTTGATTTGGTACATTAAGGTTGTTCAACGAACCATCATTCATATGTTGAAAGGAAATGCACATTGATGAATGATAAGGGTCCTCAGGTAAACTAAAAGGTGGGCAACGATTTACGTTAATCTCAGGAAAGTTAGCTAAGCAGAGATCAAGCAGTCTACCATTGCAATTAGGGGTACGATTATATTGAACTAAATTACGATCAAATAATTTGTTAAAGAACACAACGGATCTATCAGATGTTGAAATAGGAATCAAACAGCCAGAATTGTCACTGTTACACTAAGTGACTTGAGACAAGTTGAAGTCACCCAGCGCAACAACCAAATCAGTGGGTTTGCATTGCCACTTCACAAATGAGGGCAGGGTGTTTCTTGTAAATAGAGATATCAGAATTTGGAGGAATATAGGAGCAGGTTACAAATAGCTGTTTATTAGGCATTATCGCACGAACGGCGATAAATTCAACGCCAGGAGAAGTGGGAAATTCTATTGAATTGGATGGGACTGATGCAGATATGGCAATTAATACACCACCACCAATGCGATTCACTCGATCCTTTCTGAAGACTTGGAAAGAATTGTGAAAAAGTTCCGACGAATGAAGATCAGGTTGTAGCCAAGTTTCACTGCTTTTTCTAGTACTTCGCTTAATTCTTTACATTCCAAGGTGTGTATTAATATACCCGAAAAGTTTGTATTGCGTACATCATAACTATAACGTTCTTTTATCTCCGCCAAACTCAGGTAGTGACCCACCAATTCTTGATATAACTCTGGAGCTCTTTTCATCATTTCCTGCTCGCTAAAATGCTCTCCTTCTTTTATAAGTTTTTGTAAGGCAGCATATCGACGGTTCTTGATATCTTGTTGACGCGTTTTTAATTTTGTTTGATAATCTCGGATAATGTGATGTAATTCTTGGTCACTTTGAGCTATAGCGAGGCGGGCAAAGTTCTGCAAATGGTTTTCTTGTAAGTACATACCGAACTGAACTAGGAAGCAGTCTCTTTGTGTTTTTTCTTTATTGGATTTCCATATGGTTTTATGGGGAAATCATATACAAAATATATAATAACAGCAATGCAAAAACAAAAATGCTTCCTTATGCCCATAAGAAAAATTTAATTACAGGTTTTGTTACCTTTTTTGGAACGATTTTTTTATAAGATTAATAATTGTTCTGGTTTCATCGACAGATTGATTCAGCCAACCACACGGTGTTTATTTTTGCGTAAATATATAAGATTTGGAATAAAATTTGCTATAAATATAAATATATGTATCGACTTACATACGTATAGAATTGAGTGCGTTAAATTAATTAATTTTTCACTTTGCTTTAATATTATTGATGCGTACATATACCTATATATATATGTACGTACATACGGAACGGAGTCCTTATAAGTTGTATATATATATAATGTATGTACATACATACGTATACATACGTATATATATGTAATGTTTATAATAAAATTGTTGTAAAAGTGTAGTAAATGTAAGTAAAAAAACTTATGCACTTATGTGGTCTGTCGTTTACATTTTTTTTTTTTTTTTCAATTTTCTTATTTATGTTCTTTTTTCTTACAATTAACTTTAAGAGAGATTCTGGCTTAACGTAATCATAGCACGCTTATTGAAGAACTTAAACGTACTGATTTACATGGTATACCTTATGCAATACTGATAGAGTAAGATTCGTTAAAAACAGGACTTTTGAAACTTCGAAACCGCGATAGTTCTTTGGCAGAGACGATTCATATATAAGTGTATAAGTGATATTAAAACATATTTATTTGGGATTTTCACATAATATCACATAAATATTGACGTACATTAAATCCTACAACATTGCCTATAAAGACTACGAATTCAAGGCCCACAGTACATTGCAATCGAACTGATGCATCCGCTATTTATTTCATTGCTAACAAAACTCAAAAGCTTGAGTTGCACCAGCGTGGATATCTGAGAATGCAAATTACAAGACCAACCTTCTCTTCGAGTAAAGCATAAAATGTTGCTAGCAAACGATCAATAGTGAATGTTTTAGGGCCAATAGCAGCAGATGTTTTCTCGAAAACCTGTTCAATTTCTTTTAATATAGTTTGAAGTAAATACATTATAAAAAAGGCTCACTTTAACGTCTTGCAATCGTTTGCGTTTCTCTCCGTGATGTTTTACAAATAAACGTTTATCATCCTTGGCAGAGTTGTGACTAGCTAAAAACGGCGCAATTAGCAAATCACAAATTGCGTTTTTTTATGAAAGGACTCCAAAATAACACTTAAAATATCCCGATTCAAACCGATTTCAAAATTAAGAAATATAGGTTGAACAAAAAAGACGGACGGCAGACAAAAAGGGCTATCTGAATCATTCGATCTAACAAAAGATGGGACTATCTGAAGTTCCTCTGAATATTATGTACAAATATCACATGCCCATGTACCATAAGCGGTATAAGGTATAAAAAGAACAGACGAACTTAAAATGACAACATTCCACAAATGCGTTTCTTGGATGACATGGATTATTCAAAAGAAAATGAAAAAATTCGTATTCCTTTCAAGTCAGAGTCGAGATATTCACTTTACGAGTGGAAATGCGCTTGGTTGTTTAAGAAAAATATAGTCTAAGTAATTTAATAACTAAAAAATTATGGCGAAGGTGAAGACTTCTAACATGATATATCTTGCGTGGCTGTGCGAGGACTGAGTGCTAATACGATGAGGACAAATTGCAATAAATCTAATAACATACAAAAGATGCGATATAGGTTGCATTAGGTTTTTGAAAAGGTATGTAACATTCTTAGGGCCCTTTTGCATATTTGTTTCTGCTTTGCAAACGTTTGAGAGGATACGACGTCATATCAAGAAACTGTGAACGGAATCCGGGCCGATGCAATGCAATAATGGCAATGAAGGATCAAGTATACAAATGGCTTCTAATTAGCAGCGCTAATACTACTGTTATTGATAAGAATAGACAAAAAGTCACTGTGAATCTCCTACTCTGAATTTTGAGCAAAAGGTTGGAACATCTTTATATTTCCTTGTCTCTGCCATTATCACAAAATTAAAATATTGTTAATATGTGCACTCTAGTTAACATGTGCCCTTTGCTAAAAAAGCCGTTGGTTAAAAATCAACATATCTATTTCGGAAGAGAATCGGGTTAAGTAAACCGATTTCTTATTTAATATTTAATATGCAAACACTAATTTAGTAGCCGTTGAATATGTTGGTTTAATTTTTTTAGAAGAGTTTTTATTTGATATGTGTGTCTTGCAACGAAATGTGTCTTTTCACCTTGATAAGTCCTATCTGCATAAGAAAATGTTGAACTGCATGCCTCCAACTCACAATATTCGCTTTCGCTGTAGATCTTTTTCATTTCTAAATAACTTTTCTTTTGAGCGGTTAGCAGTTTTTTCATGGCTTGGCTGTGATCAACTTCAGCAAACAAGAAATTACCTTTGCGATCTAAAGAAAGCTAAGTTAAACTTAAATAAACGCCATAAATGTATAAATTACCTTCGCTTTCCGGCAGACTTGTCATCATTGCTAGACTTGCGTTAGCTTCTATTAGTTGTTCTTGGATGCTTTCAAGCATTGCTACTTTCTCTTCTAAATCTAAATTTTTTGTTCAGGCCGAAGTAGGAATGCCTAAAATCGGTTCAGTGGAGAAATTCCAAGGGTTATAACCTTCGTAAAATTACACTAATGTTGGAATTAATACTAGTGTTGCTTTCGCTTGATTGTTTTAACGAACACGATACAATATTAATCTCAACAGTGAGAGCAAGAGTCTTGACTTTCAGCTCGTGGGTTCAAATCTCAAATGCGGTAGAATTTTTTTTTGATGCTAGCGCTTTAAGAGAGAAGAATTTATTCTCTGGCTAAATTTATAGCAATAATAATAATAATTTTACAAGTTAGCCTAAAATTAGACTGCCATCATTTTTATTATCAAATTAAACAAAGCCCTCGCTAAATTTTCTTTAAAGGCACCAAATTTTATATGCTTATTCTTTAAAGGCATCAATTTTATTTCCCTGTTGAAAGGCAAAGCACAGAGTCGCTTATAATAAATAAATGGTTAAATGCCTAACTAAAAACTTAGATGGTAACCCCATTCAGTCAAATGTTCAAAAAGTAGTCCTGACACAATCAATTCTATGTTTGCGTTGCTAATGCTCCGTTGTCATAACTAGTTTTCTAGTTTGGACAAATACCGTTGCCAAGTAATAAAAAATATAAAATGCGGGAGCTTTTGCTGACAATTAAACAATTCACAATTAACATAAAGTATTACGTTCTTTCTGTAAATAGCATAGAGTATTACGTTCGCTCTGTAAATTAGCAGAGAATTTAACGTTCGCTTTGCTTGCCTGCCTTTAGGTGTAAATTAATGTAAATTAATTTAAAATTAAAAAAGTAGAGAAAAACCGCAATTTTATAAACGGCTTTTATAAACGCATCCCTCAAAATAAATCGTATTTACAAAATATTAGATTAAAGAAAAATTTTAATATATATTTACATTATAACGTTAATCCAACGGATGCATACTAAGAAACAAATGTAGATTTACATATTAAATAAAATAAAATACGAGTACTTAAGTAAGAGAGGGTAAATTTATTTTAGAAAGAGAAAATAACTAGGATATAAAGGACATTACATTATTTTAAGTTCAGCAAATGCGAAAACAATAAAAACATTGCTTATATCGTTTTTTATAGTTTCAATTATTTTACTATTTTTATAAATAGCATAAGTAGGTGAAAAGTGTATACATCTCGTTAGGTAAAAAATTTTATTATATGTTGCATATATATGTTGCATATATATGCATTTATATGTGGTTGTTTTATTATATGTTGTTTGTGGATTGCGTTCATAGATATCTTGAGCCAATTTCACTTTTTCATTTAGCAAAAGTTCAGGTTCAGTTCGTGGCTGTGATTTAAATACGATTTTAGAATTTGTACTTAAGTATTCAAAAATTTCAATTATGTCGTTGGGTATGTTTGATGATCTGCTTGGATTTTGATAGATTTCGTACGTAGCGTTGTGGTCACTTTCATCATCGATTTTTGTAATTGAGGTTGACATTGTATTGTCTTTAGAATTTAATTTGGGCCTTACAATAGATTTAGTTTCAGTTTTTTTTTATATTTATTCGCCAGTTGTTTCTTATATTCTACTGTTATACATTCTTCTTCTTCTCTTGTTATTCAGCAAATCAACTACGGTAAAATCGTTAGAATATGTAAAAAAAACTTAACGCGAACAAAGAGACGTAATTTAAATGAGCGCGCCTGAAATCCACCTCGATTCTTCTTGTATATTGCACGCATATCTGCAGGAATCACAGTACGTCCATTAAAATGAGATGGTCTGGAAGATGCAATTTTATCTGCAGTGTTGTTGAAAAAAATGCCACTGTGACTGGGCACGCAGAGAAAATGAATACAAAATGTATCAGATTGGAGTAAGGATCTGATTTCTAATATGTAGGGATGAGTTTTACCTTGGGAAAATGATTGCAAGACAGATTTACTGTCTGACACTATAAGGTATTTCTTTTGAGACTGAGAATTCACTAAGCGGATGGCTTTCAGAAGCGCAAGACATTCAGCCGTAAATATAGTGCTACGTACGTGATTTGAGAAATAGGCTTCTGGGTTGGGTTAAAATCTGTATTGACCAAGTTCGAGTAGCGGTGGTGTACCTTTGCCGAAGTAACTGTCGATTTTCTCACTGGTAAGAACCCAATTACCGGTCGAAAATATTGAGAACCAAAAGGAATTTTGAGTAAGCTATGCACATCAGTTCTTAGAATTTTGAAATTATTATATTTGCCAGCAAAAATTTAAAGAAGAAAGGAGAGGAACACCTGTAAAAGGTCTCCTTTGTACAGCAAAACCATTATTGTTAGTTTAGCTATTGTTATAGAGAAAGAGTTTACATAATAAATTACAGAATTTGGTAGGGAGATTCAAAGAGAGACGAGTAGATTTTAGGATGTTGATATTGACAGAATCAGCTGCCGAAGTTAAGTCCAGAAAGAAGGCAATGAGAATGTGGTTCTTAGCAAATGTTGACCATTAAGTGACAATGTTGTCTTGGTAGATCTGTAACATCCGTAACCAATATTTGGATTCGCAACACATCCATAGGAGTTCAGATTAACTGGCAAGTTATTCTTTCTTCAGATAGTGATAATTTAGAAGTCGTACCAGGAAGAGGGTATATAGCGGGTAATTAGAATATTGTTAAATGTTTTTAGTAGAATTAATCTGTTTTCAATAATCAAAAGTTTCAGATGATTGTTACGAATACCATCTAAGCCCGGAGCTGAGCCTTTCTAGACTGGCTTTATCGAGCCCAGAGAGAGATATGTCACTTAAGAAAAAATTGCCAGGTTCCTCATCGAGTAATACAGAAGGAATCGTAGGACCAGAAGGTCCAGCGAGTTTGTCACAGAACTCATTAAAGAACTGCATTGGTATGAAACAAACAGAGAAAAAAGATTCTCACAGTACGCCTAAGAACTAAGATTGACATGTCCGTATTCCAGCTTTTTTAATAGCTTTTTTCTAAGCTTTGGTTTTTTTTCTACGTTTCGGTTTAAATGAAAGCATGGGTAACCGCCGGCTCGCGGAACGTATCTGAGCCGTAATGCCGTCGAGTGCGGCCCGTCATCATTAAAATTTCAAATAATTAAAACTGCTTTTCCATAGCAATGCTGCAAAAGAATTTTATCTGCCTTCACGACCGGTTCTGCGGACTATTAAATGTGAAAAGTATTTAAGCTTTTTTCTTTTTAAAGAATGAAAATTGATGAAGAAGGCCGCATTTGTAATAATAATTCGACCTTATTCTGGGCCCCGGTGGAATATGAAAATTAAAATTGGCCCGTTCATAAAAAAAGTCACCCATCCCTGTCTTAAACCACCATGCTCTGCCACATCTGAAATGATAACCATTCTCGCATTGACTTCCTATTAAAATATTATTTTATTTTCTATTTACTTCCTACTCATGCAGAATTAATTAATAGTTACGCTTCGTAGCATTTTTCAAAATGTATGGTTGATATCTTATGTTATCTTGTAGGCTTTTAATGAACGTTTGTTAAACTAATCAATTTACGTCGCATAAATTAAACATAAAAGCATTTTTGTCTTTTTTTTTCTGTTTTAATACTTTAAATATTTATTTAAAAAATAATAACTGCAGAATACATAAATAATTTAACTTAATAACAAAAACTCTTACTGAAGTCTTGTTAGAAAAAAAATTAGGAAATTAAATTTCTTAATTGCCAAGGAACAATGTTTATTTATAAACTAAATTAATAGTCACCGTGACCTTTCATTTGCCATTAATTTGTAAATTCTTAACGCAAAAAAAAAAAAAAAAAAAAAATTCTGTATACATTTCAATATACGTATAAAATAGGCTAAATGACCAAAATTAAAACCAATTCATATATGTTTATGGTACAAATTCAAATTCCTATGAATAGAAAAGTGTTACAATTATTATTTTCTATGTTTTCCTACTCTGCGCCGTACTAAGTACCTGAAAACAAAGTTCAAAAAAGGCAAAAAAAAAAACCAAAAAAGGCCTCAAAACTCCCTACTCTTGTGCATGTTTAATATTTACGAGTACTTTCTGTATTTGAAAGTAGCTTATGGAATTCATTGCTAATATCTTTTTCATTTTCCACTGCTGGTAATTTCTTTAGATACTCATCCGTTTTTTACTCATCATATTTGTTTTATACCATCAGACGTAAGATTATTGCTAGTTTCGAATCATTCTTTTTTCAGCAAAGAGGTACAAAATATTGTTTTAGCATCTAAAATAAATGTGTAACACTTAGATCAGATGGCCAAATTTTCTGGATCCTCTCTCATAAAGGGGCATCTACGAGAAGTAAGTCTTTTTTGATAACCAATCATTTGGGGGATGTCTCCTATTGGTGCAACACGGTGGTGGCCAGAAAGAAGAAGAAGCGATGAAAAGGACTGATAGAGGGAGGCGGCCGAAGCCTAGTGAGTCCTTGTGCCCCATCGGCCTTATGCCTTCATCAGCATAATTCATAAACGTGTAATCCCTGAAGAGTTATAGAATCAGTTCAACGCTTCTCCGATATATCAATATCTTTTCTAAAGAACGGCTTGTCGTTTGACTTTTAAAATTTGCCTTCGCAATCGTATCATTCATTTAGTCTGACTTTTTGCCCTTGAACATTTCTTTGATATTTGCAAACAGAGAACAGTTAGTGGGAGTCAAATCTGGAGAATAACCTGGGTGAGAGCACTACGTCGAACTTCAACTGAGCCAATATCGTTAATGTAGTTTTGCTCCACTGTCAGTAAAAGTAAACTTTGGGAAACAGGTTTCTTTGAGTAAAATATCACGCAAAATAGTGAATGGAATCTGCCGTTAACATGTCTAGAATGTCAGCAGTTCTAGCAACTTCACTTTTGAATTACCGGGAATAATTTTCATGTGTTTTGCACTCATTACCGAAGGATTTTGTCAAAACGTTTGCTACGCCCAGAAGAATGCTTCCCCAATCCGCCAGAAAGTATGCACATTCTTGATCAGCATCAAATTATGAATCGATGTAAAAATGTCCGTCCATGAGGTAATCATTCTCCTGTTTGCGAAACTGAAGATATCACCTACCAATTTGCAAAAGAATTTGAAATGACCTAAACCGGTCAAAGGATACATCTACCTCGCCCAAACACCTGTGAAACAAAAACTGCGAACATATTCGCTTTCCGTATTTTTTGATTGTGACTCATAAAGTTCAACTCGTACAACAGATAAATGTCCGCTTTTGTTTTGAAAATACAAGAAAATTATCCCCGCCTATCCAATATTGTAGGGCATGAAAATGTTTTTTTTTAGTCTTTCTTAAGACAACGGATGTAAGAGATATATATGGCCACTACCGACGGTAATTTTCTTCCCTTTTTTTTTTATTTGTTCTGGCTTTGGTAGATGCCCATTTTCGTCTGCGTTCAGTATAATCAATTGCCATACGACTTCATTTAAAACAAGCAAAGCATCGATCAATTGCAGTTTCTTTTGGCAGAAAAGAGCTTTCCTTTTAAGTCATTGCCGTGCTTGAATCGTACTTTTCCCTTTCAAAAGGCTACATGTGACATAATCAACACATGAAGGCCAAAAAAATGAACAAAACAACATGAAATTTTTGTAGCATTAATATATATTCTAAAATCCTTTTGCAAACAACCGACAACTCTGTTCTGGTCTGGAAATTATTGACCGATGTGCTATTTAAATTGCATATACTAAAATTCGGTAAATGTTAACTTTCACCGTTTAAATACGCGTATAAATTTTTCTATTAAATTTATCCTTATATTGCCAGGTGGCATATGCGATACACCATTATCGACGAAATATTGAACGGATTACTTAAGTGCGATGATTTCAATAATTTGCGATCTAATCAATAATTTAATTCTTTGCGTTTAGGTTGTTTTCCTTGAAATAAATTATAATTTTTGGTCCTGGTTTCCATTCTCAAGATGTTGTGGATCAGTTTGCTACGATAGTTATCTTATTTAGTTATATTGCCGTTTAGTTTTATTTTTAATTTTGCCAATAATCGTTTTCATAGTTAACATCTCTGCCAAATATGATGCTTCAATATTCATTACAAGTCCTCTTACTTCCTAAGTAAGCCAAACATAGATTCGAAGTTGAAGCCTGTGTCGGCATTCCAAGGATATATTCGTACACAATATATGCTGTTCTAAAAGAAGAACATGCCACGACATAAAAAGCTAAGTAGTTAGAAATGAATCCGACCAACATTACTATGCCGAACTTAATTTTAGCACTGATCAAAACAAATGTTTCGGGACGCATTGCATTTGAAGCTTACTCGGTTTCACTATCGAACAAATGCTTTCACGACCTAGGAGATCCTCGATTTCAAATAAAACAAGACATTTTGCATATTACATTTACCCGATTTTCATTGTCGTGTATTGTTTGTGCATAGGCTGCGTTGAGTTTATTAGTTTTCAAATCTTCTGCACAATGTTTATGTCTATGTT